AAAAAATGTTCATGCAGTAGCATTAGTGCCCTGGATGTTGTCAGAATAAAATCACAGCCAAAGTTATGCATATGTTACCTACAATTGTACATGATTCCATTTAGAAAGATGTCATATTTCCATTTATTTCATTATTGGTAACTTTTAGTATAATGCGCTAGAGTTGTTCAAATTTTTAGTCATTGTGCCTCATTCTTTGAATTACAAAGTTACATTATGAACAGACCGAAAGAGTCACAAAAATGTTTCAGGTGTAACCAGGGAAGTCAAGGGAACATTTATACAAGTTTAATATTTTGGAGAAAAAGGAAGCAATCCAGTCAGTCTCCATTATTTTACAAAATCTAACTTTGTGCCACGTGAAAGCTAACAGTCATCTTAAAATTTTAGAAATCTGGACATATGGAACATTTTTCAGACCACATAAAAATGGCAGCTTCTAACTTCTTCCACGACAAGAGACTGCTGGACCAATTGTTGGCTCGTTTTTATCTGTCTGAAGAGACTTGCGTAGCTATAATGTGCCCTCCTTTCAGTACATAGGCCCTTTACTAGGGAACCAAAGATGATTTTAGAAGTATTCTGAACATAGGGATTTAAACATCCACTTCATTGTGTTGATACTTTTAACATTTCCAAGTTTGAGCATAGCAGTGCTGCATTGGATTGAGCTGGCGTTCAACCTACAGGAACAGCCTACTTGGCTCGGTGGTCTACATCTCACCTGTAACACTACGTCACTTAAAGTCACTGCATGGGTGGGTGTGCAGTTTACAGAGCATTACCCTCTACCATAAATAGTAGTTTCTACAAGGAAAAGACAAAAAAGTCAAATGGTTATAAATGCTTGTTTATAAAGTATCTATTTATCAACTATATATTTTAAAAAGTATTTTTTCCCCTGTTTAATGCTCTGGAACATTAGAACTCTTTATTCCTTCAGTCTCTTTTTTGACAGAAGAGGAAGGTTAAACTTTATTTTTATTTTTTTCCAGTGCCTGCTAGCTTTATATTTTTCTTTTATCACCCCAAAGAGTTACAGGCTTCCTCTTGTCTCTGCCCATTTAACAGATGATTGCAAACGTGACTGACACCCAATAGAAAAATGAAAGGCAGTCTAGCAACTAGGCACCTTCTCCTCACTCCTTCTCCAGACCCATACAATTGCATCTGAGAACCCAGAATAAAACCAGCCATCCATAGCAGCCAGTCAGCTTGGTCTTCTATCCTCTCTTCAAATAAACATGGCCATCCCCCAACAGCCCTCATGCAGCAAGTGCGGCAGTTCCCTGGTTTCCAGAAGGAAGCAGGAAATTTCCTTTCTTCCACTTCCTCCTAAGTGCTCAATTTTCACTTGAAAAGCAAGCTGGTGGCTCTGATTATCTGTGTGTCCCATGGCCCTCTTATCTCTGTGCACTCCCACCTTACATTCATTTAAACTTCTGCATTTTCTCATTTCAGTTCCCCACATGGCATCCATCCTATCTGGACTTCTTGCTAAATCAAGGGCTTGATCACTTGGATACTAATCCCAAGTCTGAAAAAAACTCACCAGGTTAACTAGAACACAGCCATATACTGTGGCCCATCACCACAACTGCCTCATGCTCAGCTGGACCAATTCAGTCAGGGTACAACTTTGCTGTTTATTCTGTGGAAAGAGCTTCCTACTCTCCTTATAAAGTGTACCTTCTAACAAGATATGATCAAATCACCACGTAAGCTGGCCTGGAACATCCCATTCCCTCTGGGTTAGACCTGCAAATCCAGTGACAATGTACAAGAAATTACACCTGCTTTATTTTTCTTACCCTTTTTTTCTCCTTCAGTCATACAATATAACAAAACAAATAGGTATTGCTTTCCACTTTGGGCAATGCCCACACAGTAGGGAACCCGAAGAGCAGGTTGGGACAAGAATTTAGTTACTGAGTGTCTATTGGCCCTACGGCGAATCTCAAGACAAAGGTTGGACCATCTTTTTCTCAGATGCAGCTCTTCATATAACCCCTTGCCCAAGCTTGAATATAGAATTATCCTCACATAAATTCAATATTATTTTTGGAAATCTGCTAACAGATGTGTTACAAAAAGCTTGGCAAAACGCTTACTTTTAAGTCCTGGTTAGTGGCCAGTGCTTGAGCTTTGGACCAACACTTTAGTGTTGGAGCCATCTAGTGGGAGAAGAGATAGGGACAGAGAAGCTGAAAGATTCTGCATCCAGATCTTTCATCCTATTCAGCTTTCTGGTGTGACCTCTGGACACCAAGGCCAATGAAACAATGATCTGCCATGCCAGCATTGCAAACAAAAGAAAACATGACTCTGAAGGGGTACTTAAAGTACATGCAAGCAGCTCATGAAATTAACACAGCTTAACAGGCTCCCAATTACCAGGAAAGCAGCCTGTGCCTGAACCCAGGGAATCCAAATAGCTAAGGCAGAAGAGATAACTTATTAGATGATAAAGCCAGGAAGCAGATTCTGACACAATTTTATGGATGCAACCCTCCTCGGGTACTGGCTGTTTTAGTATGTTTGTTCACATGGATTCTGTGAACTCCATGTGGAAAATGAAGTAATAAGGTGAAAGGTTTGCACAGGCCTCTCTCATTTGGCCCAGGCCATTCCATTGCAGTTGTGGTATCAACTCCTCTGGCTGTTTTAGTTAATAAATGATTTCTTGAACAGTCTTGGAAGATCATGCTAATATCTTGTCAATGTTAACAGGCATGTGGTGCAAGAAAACAGATCCTAGGCCCTGGAGAGTTCTTAAGCCCATTAAGTTTCTAATGCCAGAATTTGACAATACACCAAATGCTCTTGAAGCAGATAGTCCTGCAGCTTCCCGTGTTTCTAGTCCCTTACAACAATAAAAAGATTTGGTATATACCAAGATAACATATCAGATATCTGTTTGACTAGAAGCTTAACATGAGCCAGCAGCGTGCTCATGCAGTCCAGAAGACCAACTGTATCATGGGATGCATGAGTAGGGGCACGGGCAGCAGACTGAGGGGTAGTTCTCCCTCTTTGTTCTTGTGAGACCCCACCTCAAATACTGTGTCCAGTTCTGGTGTCCCCATCATAAAAGGGATATAGATCTGTTGGAATGAGTGCAGAGGAGGGCCACAGAGTTGATCCAGGGGCTGGAGCATCTCTGCTATGAGGACAGGCTGAGGGCACAGGGCTTGTGCAGCCCGGAAGAAGACTCGACTCCAGGGGGGGATCTTATAACTGCTTTCCAGTACCTGAAGGGAAGCTAGAGGAAGGCTGGAGTTCAACAGGACAAGGGGAAATGGTTTTAAATTGAAGGAGAGTAGGTTTAGACTGGATCTTAGGAAGAAGTTCTTCAGTATAAGGGTGGCAAGACTCTGGAATAGATTGCCCAGAGAGGTTGATGCCTCCTCCCTGGAGGTGTTCAAGGTCAGGCTGGATGAGGCCTTGAACAACCTAGTCTAGCTGAGAGGCATCTCTGCCCATGGCAGGAAGGTTGGATTAGATGATCTCTAGGGTCCCTTCCAACCTAAACTATTCTATGATTCTAGGAGAACATCACCCCTGACAAAAAAAAACCCACCCTATTGGTGTTTATTCATTTGAAAGGGAATGAAAACTTTCCCTCCTCCTATCAGGCTGTTAAGAAAAAGCAATTAGCTTTGCCCACAGAGGCAAAAGAGAAAGGATAACTAAGAGGCAAGACAGGCATTTTGGACAAATAACTGAGTAATGGTCTCTCTCATTCACACTAGAGTCCAGAGAATCAATGCAAGGGCATGCTTCAAATTATGTCTGTCTCTATCAGTAGGACTACAGTGCACTGTCTGAATGGTGTCCAAGGTATATCTAGTTGGTATAATACTTGCTCAAAGATAAAGAGACATATGGAGCACCTCTTTGCAGAAAGCCTTCAAGCTAGATATAGAAAAAATAGTCTTAACACATTTTCAGTTAGCTAACAGTGCTTCAATGTAAATTAAGGCTGCCTTCCACTGTCTCTCCCAGCCCATCATAATCTTATTAGTCAGCTTTTTTAGCACATCACAGCTAGGTTTCCCTCAAATGCTCAGGTAGGCAGCATGAAATGAACAGCTGGTCAAGTGTTACTACTGTCAGTTACTGGAAATTCACTTTGTTACACAAAACAGGAGCTGCATTTGTGACCAAGTTTGCACCTTTTAATATTAAGTATCTACATCTTAAAAAAAAAAAGATGCCACTGATTCACAATAGGTAAGCTGTGGTAGACAACATCCAAGCCTGGATGAACTGCAGAACAGCTGTAAGAACAGTGGGATTAAAAACAAAGACAACATAAGGAACAAAAAACCAAACCCAGCAGCAACACTAGCTCATATACTGAAGAGGCACTGGAATGAAGCTATTCTCTATTATGAAACACCAGAGGGAACCATCTTTTTCCAACAGCACAAGACATGACGCAGCTGCTAACTTAAACCTCGTAATACAAGATCAAAATCATGTAAGCTTCATCTACTCTGAGGGAGGTGCTTATACATTTGTTTTCCATGTATCAATGATTTATTTGAAGTATGCCAGTTAAAAGACAGCTGTCTACTTCAGAGAAACATGAATACAACAAAAAAGCAAGTAAAAAACTGGAACGCTTATTTACAATTAAGTAAAATGGTAGCTGGTAATGCTGACAAAGCATTCATCTACATCCTTTTCTGCTCTGTTTTAAATCTCCTGAAAAACAGAAGAGGATCTCTTACTTGACAACAAAAACATTTAACATACAGCACCACATATGCATATTTTTTTTTCTTTAAAAGTCTGCTAATACTTTGCAAGCTATGGCATATAAAAACAGGACAAATGGAAGACATCTGGCAGGCCAATCTTTTGATGCAACTTTGCATATTGCTGTATAGAGACCAAGAATAATCAAAGAAAACTATGGCTCAGTAGAAAATTAGACTTAAGTATTTCAAAACACGGATCTGCAGTATATATATATATATATATGTATATATCTCTTAGTTCAGTGATCTTAAAGGTGGTTTAGATTTAGGAAGAAACTGTTCTGTCATATCCTCCATTTTGTTCTTCTCCACAGTAGCTGCAGATTTGTTCTCCTTATCCTTTTTGTGGCTCCTTTTGTGCTGGGATTTAAAGAAAAAAGCCCAAAGTTAAGAGAGTACAAAGAAATTAAATACTAATGTACAATCCAGTATATAGTGCTCCAAGGAGAAAAGTTGGCAGAACTCTGGAAAAGGGTTCCAAATACTTCATTTACTAAAGAGATTTACTGTATACATCTGGAAGTTCAGCAGCTACTTTTAAGGGGTCCATGACAAGTTCTCCCCAGGTCAAACACAAGTCAAATACACAGAGGTTTATACTGATACATTGGTAGAGCAAGAGGGTCAAAAGGAACAAAGTGGAAAAAAATTAAGAATCAAAAATGCAAATATTTTCATCTGGCCTCTAAGAAAATACTCCATGTCTAATTTTAACTTTTCCCTTTAAACATGCGTTTGTCCAATAAATTATGATTTTTTCTTAAAGCAGAATTTGCTGAGTAATTTTCTACTGTCTGTCCAGCTTCTCAGAAATTTGCATTATTTTATCTGCTGTTAACGGTGAGCAGAATCTATTATTTTAGCTTAGGTTCAACAAACGATATTCTGGACAATTAAAAGTTGTGAGACTACACTAGTTAGGTGACTTTAGACTACTGCACTACTACAGAACAATAATTTTCCTTCATTTTTAAATACATAATTGTTTGGAATATTTGTGAGTTACCTGGAAAAAAGGAACGCCAGCATTTTCATGGCAGCATACGTTTATATCCACTAAGGATTTGTCACTAACAAAGCTTTCACTGGATTCTTCCAGTCCTTCTGCCTCTTCCAACAGCTTCTAAAACAGAATTTTTCAGAAAAGTCTCTTTAATGTCTGGGTTTCCTAGGTGAATGCATTAAGCATGACCACATCTATAAAAAAAGATATGGCACTTTCATTTCTAAAAACCAGAAATGAAAGTCTCTAAATTATTAATGACTTGTTTTATTTTTCAGGATAGTGTTTTTGTCAAGAGCTTATCACATATGATTCCAAGTACCCTGTAAAACACAAAGGTTGCAACAGCCTTGGGGTTCTAGTCAACTCTCTACGATGGCATGAAAAAAATCCCAAGAACTATGATATCTTCAATGAAGAGCATCATTAGCCATTCATATACATACCTGATCTGCATTTGTCACACTGTTTAGCATACCATCAAGATTTAGTTGCTTTTGCCTTAATTGCTCCAGTAGAACTTCCCGTGGTTCTGTTCTCAGAAGGGTGACTGGATAGAAATAGTCTCTTCTCTGTGGAGTTGTCCCTTTAATGAAAATTGTACACTACTGAAAGGCACTATTAACACTTTCAGCATTTCCTTTAATTACAGATCCTCAAATTTACATTTACTCAACACAAGTCACGCTTTGTTCAGTTATTCTTTACATGCACCTTAAAAAAAGTGCAAGGCTACTAGTTATGCCCCCATTAACCTTCACTCAAAAATGCAGCAACTCAGATTGCTTTTTGTAAGACCATTCTGTCCCTGACCTACTTTAAATACCTGTTGGAACATCCACTTTAAGATCCTCTTGCAGGAAGCCATTAACCTGAGCCAGTCCATGCTGTGCCTCCTCATTAAGTGCCAGCTTCTGCTCCAGAAGTATCTCCTGATCAACCTTTATCTGATCAAGAAGGCCATTCAGTAGCTTCTCCTCAGCAGCCTTTTGTCTACCAGTACAGTCAGCAATTTCAGCTCTTGCTTTACCACAGTTTTCTTCATTTTTCTGAAAAGAAAACAAAAACCCCAACCAAAAAAAAACCCAGGTTAACAGGAAAGATAAGGTTATGGCCTCTTTTCTAAGATGTGGTGCATGATTAGTGACATGACCTGAAACAAAACAACTGAGACCTCAAATCAAGAGGTTTCAGTGTCAGTTTTACATTCTCATTTCATGAACCATCTTCAGAAGAGAGTCAATTTCTTAGAAAGTATAATCATTTTAGAGAGCTACTCATAAGAATAAAGATGATGTCATCTGGCTAAGATCACTCCTCAGGCTTCTATGCACAACTCTGCACAGAATTAGGATACTCAAGTGCAAGTGAGAATCCTACAAGCGCTAGAAGCTTTATACATTTGCAGGGGAAAAGAAGGAAAAGCCATTTTCATTGGAATGAAATTCCTGAAGTGTTCAGATACAGCAGCATCTTGAGACTGTAAATGCTTTTAACAGTTAAGTTTTTCTTTCTGGAAGTTAGCAATGTTGGATTCTTCTTATTTAATTATCTATTAGAACAATAAAACAAGAAGGGTGGTAAGTGAAGTTTGCAATAGAAATTAGAAAACTACAGAAAAATTCTCAGGCAAGAGGCCAGAACTAGTGGACACCTAAAAAGAATGCTTTCTTCCATAACATTAACCTATCAGATCAATAACTTGCATCCTCCAGAACATAGTCTGTATTTGACCACTGCGCAAACCTCCCAGTAATATTACTGGTAGATAAAACTTGAGAATTGTATGTACTATTGAAAAGATGTAAAAAGCCCAAATTACGAATGGATGTTGGCTGCATGGGATTAATCAAGACACCATTATTTGAAATTATTTGCACTTTAAGTTCAAAGTCTTCCTCCTAAATGAAATCTGATTTCCTCTAATTGCATCACTTGAGCTGAGTGGTCACAGCAGGCTTGTGTTAAAAAAAACTACACTTTTGTTTTAACTGAGAATATTTTTCTCCCTACAAATTCTACTATAAAAGTTTGTCTCAGAATGCTGTATCAGACTATACATGACTCTAAGTACCTTTTGTAAACATTGAAGTTGGCGTTTCTCATCACCGAAGGACGATAACTGCTGATTGGTAAAGCTGACTATCTGAGCATTTGTACATTCAGCCCATTTATCACTATCTTGAGATACATTTTTTAGATTGCTGAGCAGCTGTTGACAGTGGCCAGTGGATTCTTTCAGCATCATCTTGTTTTCAGCATTTATGATCCTGAGCTCTTGGGAGAAATTATCCAGAGATGCAATAAACTTGCTGTGATTGGAAGCTGTACTGCTGACTAGGTCTGTAGTTTTCCTGCAACAACATTTTTAACAGTTCAGAGATTTTGAAAGGTGGGTTTTAACACATTCTACATTTAGAAATAGTCGATACCACAACCAGTGAAGTAGTGCAGTTCTATCAAAACAATGAACTATAATGTTGTTGCTTTAGATAGCAAATTTACAAGTTGCAGTACTGTGAGCAGTACATTTGTTAAATCCTCCAAACAAAACCAAACCCCAACCAAGCACAAACTAAAAAACAGCTTAGTAAAATCTTAGTTATACAGTCTGCAACTTAATGAATAATGTTGCATTCAATACCTGAAGCTAAGCCTTTATGGTACAAGTTCTAAAGGACAGCCATACTGAGGGCTGCTCATCAGCGTATTGCTCCCCAAAACCACAGTCTCTTGTATGCAATATGCTCAAGAGCCAATGTTGAGGAAAAGCCTTGTAGAGCTACCTTTTACTCTGGGGAAAGGTGAACTATGATCTACACACTGTGGCAGAACTCAGCTATAACATACAAGTCTTGTATGACATATTTGTATGACAGAAGCATACAAATATGAAGCATACAAGTATGAAGAGCATCTAATTTTGCAGTCCTCTTCATACATAGTTTTATCTTGCACCAGTATACACCAAAAGCAATTTGCTTACAAATGAACATTTTCTTGCACAGAAGTGATGCTGGTCCTCAGGCTTCCATTTTTCGCTAGTACGTTATTTAGGTTCTTCTGAGTTTCCTGAGCGAACAGGTCAAGCTGGCTTTGCAGTGATGACATTAATTCAGCTGTGCTCTGTTAAGAAAAACATCAGACATTTCACTGTTATTCTGCACTTTAACATTCTTAATGGGTACATGAATGCTTTTATTAAAAATGCAGCAAATGAGAGCTTTGTCATTCCAAAGCTGAAGGTACAATTTCCATGTAGAGAAGATACAGGCACTTTGCTTTTGGAGATATAAGGTAAAGGCATATATATACTGGGTATGCTCAGAGCAAGGGCAAATCAAAGCCCAACAAAGGCTGAAAAGAATAAGGATCAAGTTTCTGTCCCAACATTTCTTTCAAAGCAAGTACAACTGCTAAAAAGAGTTTAAATCAAAGCAAACGATCATACACAATGTTCAGATTTCTCTAAGGATACCTTCGTATGTGCCAGACTCATCATTTCCATTTCTTGTTTTAAATTCTCACAATCATTCTGCAGCTGAGCAAAAACACTGTCTGTTTCTTCTCGTAGTTTATCCAGAGTAACAGAAAGATCTCCAAAGAAGGTATCAATTTCCTTTTTGTGATCCTCCATCTTTGAAAAAAATTAAAGTTAGATATTTGTCTAGATCTTATCTGAAGTTAGATATTTGTTAAATATTAGGAAATAACTAGATAATTTTCCCTAGCATAACTTACGCAGAAGCAAACTATACCCCAAGGCAATTGTCAAAGGCACTAATAAAGTACTGTGCATTAAAGGTAGAAAACAGTCTGAGCAAACTGAAGTTGCAGACTGGAACTTGGCATAGGCTTTTCCACACAAAATGTGGCACATGAGGTAGACAAAACAGGAAGACACAGACAAGGTACTTCATTAGGACAAGAGCAAGAAGCAAGAGTTGGTAAGCCATGGACTATTTGCTGTCTGAAAACCAACTGAAAGCCTCTAGCATTGAAGGGGAGTTTATTTCACATCAGTTTAACTGACAGGAGGAAAAAAATTTTCAGTCAGAGAAAAAGGTCACAAGGAACAAAGATTTGGTTTTGACAAAATGGAAAAAAAAAAGGAATGAAAGAGTGAGGCAGCAGTTTTGCATAAACATGTTAACAGACTAGAATCAAAAATTGAAGCAAAGGACACATTTTATAAGGGCAGTGTTGTCTGCACTTACGGTTATTGTTAACAAGATACAGCATCACATTCCCCAGAAATCAAAGTGACTAAGGAAGAAGTTTGGTAAGACAGCAGGAGCAACTGGGAGTGATAAGATTTGTCTAAACTGGTTATTTTAGATTTCTAAAATACAGGAGAGACTATATTAAGGGCATTATAAAATATTTGTTACATATAGCTTTAAGCATTCATGTCTTACCATTCTTCTACGGTATTTAGATGAGCAGTTGTACCAATATAGGTAACAAGCAAACAAACCACATTCAGAAGTGAAAAAAGTCTGAAGGAAAGAGCTAGAAGGTAAAACTCATGGTACATAATAAAGGAGAAAAAGGCAAACCAGAAGCGGAAACACTGACAACGCAGAAAAAACGCCAAAGATTTATCTGTAAGTTATATAAAAAAGTATAAGGTTAGATACAAGTTAGATGCATTACCTTGTCAACCACAGCAGAATATTTCTTCATGCTACTCTTAAATTGACAGTTCAGCCCCAAGATGAATTCTAGCATTGGTGTCAAACTATTTAATGCTCTTCCTAATCCAGATGTATGTTCTTCCTAGGAATAGCATTAAAAATAAGATAAAGTAAAACAGATGTGACTGTTCTTTCACCTACCTTTGTAAGAAGGTATCCATACATGTAGCCACATACTGTGCTATTACAGTATTTTCTATGTAGTACTTTTCAACATTGGGATGGGAAATGGAGGGACATAATCATGGCCAAGTGCTGACTCGGACAATAAGAAAACCTCGATACAATATTTAGAGAAGCATTTTTGGTTGAGAACAGTTAAGTTAAATAGGAGTATGTAAAGTTACTAACAATTAATCTCAGCAGCTCAGCTTTTAAATCAAGTGACAGATTCTCATGTTGTGTTATTTTTTCAGACACTTGAGAAACTTCAGTAGACACCAACTCTTTAACAGAGGCAAAAGATGCTGATACAATCGATGTAAGAGTATTAGCTGCTGAAGAACTGGTAGACAGAAGGTCACCTATAAAAGAAATCAAGAAGAATTACAAATTATTTTCTTTAAACTTCCACTGTAAGCTAGGTATTATTTTAACCACCTTGTTGCCTTTTACAGCCCAGGAAGGCCATTGATCATCCAAGGCACATTATTACTGGTGCAGCTGTAATGATTACATTGCTTAAAATAAAGCCTTTTTCATTTACTAAGTGCAGATCCATTTTGGGAAACTTGCAAAAACTCAGGATGACATACTGACACAGGATTACACTTACCTATAAAATTTGTGTAAGATGACAACATCTGTTGCTGCTTCAAACTGTTTTCATGAACTGAATCCTGTATTTTGTTGAACAAAGCATTCATTTGTCCTGCAAATGTATTTTGGATGATAGCATTGTGTTGATCAACAGCCTTCTTACGGTCTAGTTTTGCATGGAGACCAGATACATCTTTTGTAGTTTCTTCAACTGTACTAAGTAACTACAATTGTTAAAAGTTATTTTAGTCCATCTTTAAACAAGAAGTCAAACATATTATATAAAGAAAAGCAACTGTAGTTCAGAGTTAAAAGACAAGTTATTTCCCTGGAAAGACAAGTGTTTCCCTTTACATCAAATGATAACTGTTCTTAATCCTGATGTTATGTCACTCATAGTCTTAGAACACAGGAAAAAAGTTACCTATACTACAGACCATTTGTTCTGATTTTGAAATTAAAGCATTAATCAAGGACCATCATCAGTATTTAAGGAATTAAGATATTAATATTTATGACAGAATAGTAACTGAAAATTTCTGACCACTTCAACATTTTCTAAAAGCTTTGACAGTAAATACATTTATAGAATCACAGAGTGTCTTAGGTTGGAAGGGACTCTAGAGATCATCTAATCCAACCTCCCTGCCTTCTTTTGTAGTACTCAAGCAAGAGGTTTCCAGTAGTAGTTCTGTGATAAATAGTTTTGCATCCAAACTTGAGCATGTTTAGCGCTCAACTATCAATACTACCACTGAGAAAGTCCCGCAGCAATCTTAAGTAGCCTTTCATCACACTATCATGTATAGAGCTAATTCTAGTTCTCAGTCTTAAATTCAGGTTTTGTCACACTCACATCATGCTTTAGCAACAATTAATTCCTTAACAGCCCATGAAACACCTAAATCATGGGAAGTTACTGCTACAGTTAGGTGCAAGAACTGTGACAACCTTGCTAGCTGTGCCATGAAGTTTTTGTTCGGTGTCTTCCATAACTGAAACCACATATTCTTCTTCAGCCAGATGAACCTTGGTTTCTTGCAGATCCTTTTGTGTTTCTTCCAGTTCTTTCTCCTTGATTTGCAGATCCGTTTTACACTGTTCAAGTTCATTTTTACTAGCTGTGAATAGTTCAGTGATCTGAAGTGGAAGAAAAGATCAATAGGGCAACACTTTTTTATCAGTTCAACAGTGCTGCTACACATCTCAAATGATGCCACAATATCAGAAGGCAAGTTTTCATCTACAAATGTAGTTTCAACTGTAAGGCTCAGGTCTCAGATCTAGACTATAGATTTATATAATACTGGAATTCACTGAAAATATCACAAAGCAACACCATTTGCACTGTAACAATCCCTTGCTTCCCTACTGAAACCACAAGACCAAACGATTGTTACAACACAAGGAAAAAATCTGACTAAACAAACCTAAGCAGATAGAGTTGAGAGTTAAAGCTGATTACGCAGATTAGTCGTATATTCCAGCAAATAACTGCATTTCCTCTAAAGAGGAAGCCCCCATTTTCTGTGCAATTTGTTAACGGGAGGCTCATCACCTTCTCCTCTTTCCCCTCATTCTTTGCTCCTAAGCAGGTATCTCCCAACTGAGATGATACCATTTTACATGCAGATTTTTGCTGTAAATTCAAGCAAAGCAAATTAAAGGTACAGTGGCATACATTAAAACAGCTTTAAAAAAAAAAAACACAAATATTGCATCCTGCCACTTCATATATGGTATTTAAACTTCTTAACTTCAAGGATTAGGAAAGCTTCCACTCTATGACTAATTAGGGAACTTTAAGAACAAAAACTCTTCACACTGTTGCTTTTCTGTTTTCCTCCTCCTCCAAAGATTTAATTTTTTGGCAGATTTATGCCACAGTTGAGAAACATTACTTACTCTTCTCACTTCTTCCTCCATAACGCTAATTTTGTCAATATACTCTGCAATTTGTTCTTCCTGAATCGTCAGCTTTCCATTAAGGGCTCTCAAGCAAGGATTAAAACAAAAAAATTAGTCAAGTAAGAGCTGATTTCAAGATTACATATTTAGCTAGTTTGACAATTGAGTACTAACAGCTTCGATATGAAAAGCAGGTAGCTTTCACTTAAAACAGAAAGGATTTAAGACAATAGTTCATTGTATACTTTGTGTGTAAACTAGTCCTCTTAAAGTGCACTGAATGATCAAGTTTGCTCTCCTATTTGAGTTCCCAGTGAAAGAAAAGTTGCATAGTGTAAATCTGCTTCCTAGCTATGGTTATGTTTAAGTCCCACATATAAATAAAATCCTCAGTGCAAACTTACTCTTCAGCCATCTACCTGTGCAATAATTAACTTCTAAAGAACAAGTTGAGTAGTTAAATTCTGACTGACTATCTTCAATTTTCTGGTGTGAAAACAGATCTGAACATGATTCTGTATAAGGAGAGGTACCAGTATCTGAGATTTGTTGTTCGTAGTGTTATAGAAATTTAAAGACATACTCATAATTTTCAAGGGAAATATAGACTCCATTTTTTTCTCGTGCAGCAACAAGGTCACGCTTCAGACGCTCAATCTCTTCAGTGTATTCCTGCAAGAAGAAAATCATATGTAAACCTGAAAATTTCTACTTCATTTTCAAGATTTGTCTTAGACACCTCACAAAGATAGCGATCTATGGAAGCTCTGTACAAGCACAGGAGGAAAGCACTTCACTTGTGTTTCAAATAAGTTCAGCATTGCATCATTTAAATTCATACCATTGGATATACACAGAGCACTGAAACCTCCTCAAATCATACTTGGTTGCACACAACAGCTTACAATGGGAGTTGCAGCTCCTTTAGTAGCACCTGGCTACTTGATATCATCTCTTCGTTCATATTTACTGACAATTTCACTTCAATTCAGGCACTTTCTAGCAAAAAAGTTGCTCATACACTGAGTCCCCAGAAAAAAATATCCAATGTCACTCAGTGTCTCTCCAGTGACACCTTACAACTCCAGTGAGTTGTAAACAGGTAATCCACACAGAGCCACAGCTGGTAGCAATAGCCCTCTCCACACAGCTTTAGTCTCAGCAACAGTTTCAGTGTCTGTGAAGTGACTAATGCTGTACCAGTAGAGCAGAATAGTTTGAAAGCATCACTTAAGTGATTAAAATCACATCAGAGAAGCACTACTACTAGTTACAGCTTCTCCCCAATTTCATAATTCCTACATAGCAAAAACTCTTAACAGATTCAAACCTAACCTATAACTTAAATCTGGGAAGATATGTCTCACTTACCTTAATAAGAGCTTTTTTCGTTAGCTTCTGATTAACTTCAGGCTTGTTCATTATGTTCTTTGCTCTGTGAGCATATTCCAGTGTACTCAATGTTTCCTGTGATAAATAGATTAACACTAAGTCAAGCTGAGAAATTAAACTCATATTTTTGTATCATTAACAAAACATAGTATCTATTTTAGGAATAGACTTTCAAGACAAACTTACCTCAAGATTTATAGATGCAGGAGAAACTGTAGCAATTATTGATGTTTTTGTTCGTCCTCCAAGAGAGTCTTGAAGGATTCTTGTGAGTTTAGATTCCCTGTATGGAATATGTGGGGCTCTTTCTACTAGAGCAGTAATAACTCTTCCTAGGGTCAGGAGAGACTGGTTGATATTTCCAGCTTCACGAGCTCTTTTGTCAACTGCCCCAGATCGACCAATGTTCTCACTTCCTGCAAGATCAACCTGGAAGATAACAGGAAGGACATGCTTCTGTCTTAAATCACCCTGCAGAATGCAAAACCCACCAACTTGAGTTGCTCAGAAGACAATGGGGTGACAAGTGGGACTGACATTTCTCAGAGTAACAAATATAGTTCCTGTCACTTCATGAAAAACTATTTTACCCCTTACCAGGAAAAAAAAAATCTTCAATTCTCAAGAGAATGATGTCAGATTATTCTAGTTCATGACTAAAGAATGTCATCAATGACATTTAGTTCAAATACTTACCAAGTTTAGCTTCCCAATTTTAACAAGTTCTTCTCCATCTACTGTTGTTTCTTTCATATGGATGGTAATGGAAAACACGGAGTGGGAACGGCTATAAAAGAACTCAGTTTCAGACTGACATACCATTAAAGCCAAATCTGCTTGCTATATGACACTGATGCAAATTAGGTATCCGTGCTTCTTTTAGGAAATACATTTGGTCCATTCATTGGGATTTACATATTTTCAGTACAGAAAGTTATCCTACCAAGTATGTTTTTGTGTGCATACATATGAATGCAGTACTTGAAGCCAGTGATGAAGCAAGTGGATGATGTTTGCCTCATTCAATCCTGGTAAATTTTATCTTATTTCAAGCAAACCCAAGAGAAACACTATGGCTTTGTCTGTGAGCTGAGAGCATACAAGTAAACATGTCAAGAACACTGGCTTGTAAAATTTTCAGTCAATACACTAAAAACAGTTTTATAGAACTGTGAGTTCTAAGAGATTGCATTTACTTTATTCAGGCTAAGAAAATCTGCCAGTAGCTGGATCAAATATTAAAAATTCAGAGGTTCAGTTCAGTTTTCATTCAAAATAGTAGTACAGTTTAAGATTATTTTAGCTTGAGTTTATTCCTTTAGTAAGTTCTTACAGTAGAAAGCTAACATACATAGAAAACCAAAGATATCAAATTACACCAGTTTGACCATGCATAAAACAGTTCAGGCAGAATGAGTTATCTAGATTTCCTGTAATTTCAGAATAAATTAGTTGTGTGTTCTAATGTGTGTTAGCCGAATACCAACTCCTTTGCACCAGGAGAGAAATTTAGTCTGTGTATCTTTAATATGACAGGGCATATCCCTTGCTTATTGCAACATTTGATCACTGCTTATTCACAGTACAGATATCACCTCTGCAGTTAAAAATATCATTTATTACTGCTTTCTCATTTTTGAACCAATATATTTGATAGACTCTGACCACAAGCTCCAATCACAAAGTAGCCTGCGCACTGTCATACAAAAAATAGCCTAAACCTTATCCCCAGCTTCCACAATCCAGTTTGCAAATTTTCAGAAGCTGAGGTCTTGTGTTGACCTGTAAAAAACAGACCTTAGCAGTATTTTGAAATTCCAACTTCAGTAACAAATCCTAGCATATCATTTTCTACCGCAGGTGAAGAGAGGAAAGGATACTTGAGATTCATACACTAAGCTGCTATCTAGTAAACAGGATTGGCAAAAAACACAGCCAAACTACCCATAACAGCTAGAACAAAACCAACCTACTTCTCTAATACAGGTATATCAGCTAATCATCTTCCAAGCTTGAAGGGACTACCTTCTTTCTGAAGATGTAAAGTATCTACTGCAGAGAATATTTATCTCATGCCAGTACATATATTGCATTTCAGTTACGTATCTGTCAGACTTCAGTTTTTTGTTTCCACAAGCACAGAAAGCATCAGAAAAGTTAAATTTCCACATTCTAGATGCCAGATTAAGAACATTCTGCTACTTACATCTCAGATAGACTTAGGTGGAATGTCATTTCTACTGTTCCAACTAGACACTTATTATCACAGGATATATTCAAAACAAAGCAATCAAACTTCAAACAGGGGAAGCTTACATAAAAAAAAAATCAGAGAGAAACAGCTTGCCCATTTTTAAGATGAGAAGCATTCAGATTTTAGAACACCCCTTCATACACCTATTAAAATCACCCCATTGGCTGTGATAAGGAAGAAGTTCCACCTATGGCTTTCTAACCAACATTCACTAATCTGACCTGCAATACACAATCTCAAGATCATGCCAGATTTGCATGAGCTTCAACATCTTTTACTTCTTCAGTAAGATTCTGTTTAATAAAACAAGAACAAAGCAAAGGTCCTGAAATGTGGAAGATCTGTACCTGGAATATGCATTCATGTATGTAGCTGCAGTCGTTCTTTTTGCAGCACCCCTTTCCAGGATTTGGTAGACTTCATTTTTGTTGTGTACAGTTATTTCTTCCAAGCCTTTAATAATTACACCCCTCTGTCAGAAAATAACATGTGCTTATTATACATCTCAGCAATCCTGAAAGCCTTAAGATAAATTTTGGAAGACAGCACTAACCTTGTTTCGAGGGTCGTCAAACATCTGCAGCCTTTCTCCAACATCAGGAGTAGGATTCAGAAGATCAAAAAGTTCCTCATTATAGATTTCCAGAAGAGAGACTTTCACTGAAAATTCAGTACCATTCTCTGCAAGTTTTTCAAATATTTGATGCAATGTTCGGGGTATTATACCAGCTAGTGGATCCTATAAATTAAAGTATTTAATACATAAATGCACTGAAAGATTTGAGGGTGGAGAGTGGAATTCAGCTAAGTAGTCTGATTTGATATAAGCAAGAATACCTTGAACAAAGATAACTTTCCATATAAAGATTGCAAAGTCTTTTATACATGCGTTAATGATGTAAATATTTGATTTTCAGATAAATTAATGAGACCATTTATTAAATTATAAACATTTATGGAAAATTAGCTTCAGGATTCTAAAGGCATCAACTTCAGGTTGCCTTTAGCGCTCTGTAATTTCTAACTTTGAACTATAGTACAGACATAAGAAACCTTAGGAATGAAAATATACCTCTTCCCAAGTATATTCCTCATTGGGTGACCGCTCCCCTTCCATTGTGAAGGTCTTACCAGTACCTGTTTGGCCATAACTGTGAGAATACAAAAATAAAAATGTGAACAAGAAATTACAATTCAAATAAAATCTCCCAATAATAATAAGGATAGGCTTACTTACGCAAACACCGTGCAGTTGTAGCCCATAATAACTTCATCCAGGATGGGACACACAACACTGCGGTACACGTCAATCTGCTTCGCCTGGGCACCAAAAACCTGTTGAGGCAAAGACAACATATTCCATTTGTCCAGACAGTAATGCAGAGCATCACACAGTAGCCAGACCACAAGAGAAATGTACTAGGTTGTTTCTAGAAGTTCCCAACTTGACCAGCAGTTACCATATCAAACGTGTAAGTCTTTCTTGATGTCTTATCTGTCACTCCTCCAGTGCGGACACTAACTTCCTTCCTTGTTTGATCACAGTCTACAACAGCATAGGAACTTGCTTTACGTTCTGAGGCATTGAAAGGCCTAAAAAGACAGAAAATAAGAATATTAGGTTTACATAATTGCTAACAACATAAACTGACAAAGCAGTAAGCCCACTCAGCGTAAGGATCCAGAAGAGTATAATTGGGCAAAAAGAACAAATCTTTAAACAATTATTAAACAATTTAACTTAAAAGAAAAAAATGCTTCAATTTGGCGGTTTCCAGACCTTGTTTCTCCTCCCACTTGCTGTGGCATACAACTCAAGTATCTATAGCTTTTAGTTTCTTTACATATGTATTTTTTTAACAAGTCTATAAGCACATTTAAGATTGTTTAGATGCACACACAGCTAACTTGGATCAGAAAACATTAATTGTAGGGGAGTGGAAGGTTACACAGACTAAACAGTTGTATAACAAGAGCCTTCAAAAAAGGAAAGTTATATGTGAAAGTTAAGGCAATAGTGGATCAAACCAACTAAATTAAAAAAAAATCATTTTTCATTTACTCAAGCAACATAGCCTACCTCCCACATGGACAATACAATACTCTACAGCACCAGAAATACTAAAAGACCCTACTAATACCAAAACAGCAGACAGCAATTCCAGAACCTTTATAATGCTGATGCACTTGTGAATAGAATGTAGCAAGATGGACAAAACATCAGATTTGGAGGGAAAAAGTCAACATAGCTTTTTGCTATGACTAGAAGTTCCTGTAAAAGAAGTCTAGAAACTTCTTGGGAAGCATTTTGTTTCATTGCTAAGTTAATTTAAACCTAGTATACACAATTTTCCTTGAAGGAGCATTTGCAACAATTTCTCCCAAAAAAGCATGGAAATTACCATAGACTGAAAACTAAAAGCATGAAATGCTATTTTAGTACCCACTAGTGCTACTACACTGAATGTCTATGCTACCTGGATAGTTGACTTGAATGTCTGTTTCAAAATAGAACTTCTACAGCCTTAGGAATCTTGAATATTTGACAGTAGACACTTCACATGCTGTCTCTTTATATTATAATATTAAAAAAATACAAGCACATGGCATCTCAAGTCTTCCAACTCTTGTGACTAACATTCCTTCCTCAACATAGCACTGAGAATGAAGTGTTAGAATCTAAACAGATCACTAAAAATTTGGTGCAAGACTGACTGGTGACCCCAGATGATCACTACTATCTTGTTCACAGGGACAAGTTCCAGCTTTGGTTTTGGGACTTTTAAAATAGTAGAAGGCTGAACAATGAATATATTCTGCTGCCCTGTAATGACATTACAGTGAACCAGACAAATTCAGGAGCCCTACAGTATGCTAGCCCACAACTGTGCGATCAGAGGAGCACTCTGGGTGGGCTGGAGCATACACGCAGGTCATCACCACGTGCCACTGACAAGCAGTAAGTCGGTATGACACGGAGGCATCGGATCACACGTGCATCAGCTCAGGTACGAGGCATTAACAATGCTCGCGTATGGATTATTCAATTTCCAAATCAATATTTTACCAAAGTATAGTAAATGCATTGCTTGAGGTTTTTGATAAGCTCAGATACATCAGGTTTTGGAAGCAAATCTGAAAGGAAATTAATGCAATTGTGTCTGTCTACCTGTCTGTAAGATAAGGAGAACCCAATGCAAAAGAAAAAAAGGTGGAAGAAACATTTACCAGCTCAAACATGCTGAAGCTCTATTAAAAAAGCTGTACAAGAGGCAAAAGCAAGGATGAGCTAGGACGTTTTTAGGGGTTAAAGACTAAATCTTGACACAGGACTTAGTTTATGAGTTGCAACAAAAGCAAAAGATCACGCCATGGGCGGTCCTGATGCTACTGTCATCCTATCGAGCATTGTACTTAATGATATTGATACTTTGTGAGGCTATTCTGGAATAGCTGAGACTAATCAGATGAAAAAGAAAATTATTGCTGTCAGTGTCCCAAACTCAATTTCTTTAATAGTTATCCTTCTTTCGCAATAACCGTGGTTTGCATCAACACTTTCACCAATCTTATTTGTTTCAGCAACTTTTTAATAGTCTTGCAAAATAGAGAAAATCACTTATAATTTCAATTTTTATTGTGTATCTGTAAAAGAAGTTTCCAAGCCTAAGGATATAATGATTGCAAGCCATTAATAACATCTAAGCTCATATTTATAGTTCTGCCTCAAAAAAACCCCAACAACATTCCAAAGGTATTTTTGAGCACTATGGTTAAGAACAGACTAGACATGTAACAGTTTCAACATGCCACACTATGCAAAGATTTAAGATTCAGTATCAGTGAGCAAGTCTTTAAAGTCACCGCCAAAGAGAACCTGACTATATGGTACATGAAGCTTGTCATAGTTGGTCATTTCTGCTTATGAAGTTGACCCCCATAGCTTCTTGCCTGACTTCAGGAAGTCTGCATCACTGAAGTTATACAAAAGATACATGAAAATGTGTATCTTAATGGATGTAGTAAAAATCTTATTAGCTGTTTTAATCACAGCAGCTTCCCAAGTAAGATCATAGAAGATTAAAATCTAGTTCGGCTTTTTTTGTCTTGAAAATCAGTCACACTAAGTCTCCTTTAGATGCTCTTAAAACTTCTGCGTTGCTTTACGCTGGATGTGCATTCAATGAAGTTCGGAAATTGCACCTTTCTGCCTCTTTAAAAGGCAAAAGATTCCTCGCATTCTCTCCGCTGGCGACACGGGTCCGCCACAGGGAGCATACGATTAACGCCTGGGACAGGCGTTTTAAAGCGCAGCAAGAGAGCGGCTGGAATGTAACGGCGGGCTCGCCCCTAACGAGCTCCCCGGAGAACCATCGCGCCGCAGCTCGGTGGGGCCGCAGGCTTCCCGGCGCCCCCTCAGCGCCCCACCACACGAC